CCCCAAAACCCCAAAACCCCAAAACCCCAAAACCCCTCAATGACAATTAAGAATTATCTATCAAGTAATCTATTAATTAAATCCGTTATTTTAATATCAACATAATTTAAATTCATAATATTTACACTCATGCTCCTTAATATATTTTTAATAGCTACTTTTTGCTCAGAATTGATGATAAATGTAATCCTCATAATAATCTACCATTGAAAAATCATCCTTGGTCAAAAAATCAAAGTGAGCAGAATTTTATTTACCTATCAATTAATCAGCAATATTGTCATTATATAGCTAGTCTTTGCGCAGTTTCTCATGGTTGTATATTCTCTCATAAAACTTTAACTCGTTAGTCCTACTCGCTATCATGAGAGAGCAGCTTACTGTTGCATAGTAAGACATTTCATCATGACCTAGTCTCTCTTCATGCTTATCCAGAAAGATGCTAGAGTTCCAATACCTCTCCTAGTCTGTATAGTGTTAAATGTTTATCCAATCCTCTGGATTTGGAGGTTTGTAATTGCATTCAGACACTCTGAAAAGTAAATTCTTAAGATACATCTAGGAATCACTCTTGTGATTGTTATGAAGGTTATCAGTGCTTCTGTGATGATGATTATGATTTTGATTCTTAATTATAGTATTATTCTTCTGAGATTCTTATTCCTCTAATTAATCCTGGATATCTATTAAAGATTTTTCGGAGTGATTCCTATATAGATGTAGCGCCTACTAGATCAGCTATTTCCCAAGTTTCTGTTTAAACCACTCATCTTGAACTTCTCCATTTCCGTAGCCATGTATCTCATCTGACTCAATTAAGGTGAAGTTGTCTTGCTCCTGCTAATTATGAGAGAAGGCAATGGCATTGTACTCATGAATATTTCCAAGCCAAATATTAGTACCATTGAATTTCTACCCCTCCTTCAGGAATACATCTAAGTGCTCTTAGTAATGCATTGGATTTGTAAATCTATGCTCCTGCCTCAGAAAGTCCATTAGCAAGTTACCTTTCCTGTACTTTGGGTCTTCAATCAATTTATAGGGCTTCTTCTCAAAATTAGTCAGAAATCCGTAGTTACCAGTGTCTAGATTCATTCCAAACCAAGTGCCATTTGCTTACAGATCATAAGCACAAGCAATCTTCTAGGGTCCAAAGTGAACTCCAAAGTTAGATCTTTTCTGGGCTCTTGATATCTACTCATCTCTGTTAAAAAGGACAATGAGTTTGATTTGTTTAGCAACATTCTTTTTGAAAAATACTATGCACATTCTTTATCTCAATCTTTGGTTTTTAAAGTTCTTAATTTATTATTTTTTAATTAATAAATTGTCATTAACTAATTTATAAATTTGATCTTGGGGTTTTGGGGTTTTGGGGGCATCAAACTTTTGTTCCTAAATCCAAGAGCTCTAAGCATACCGTAAGAGTAAGTC